TCATGACCCAGTTCTTGTTCAGCCTCTTTTTCTTTGCAGACAGTATTCTGAAATGGAAAGCTGACAGCAAACAGTGGCAATCTGACTGCTTGTCTCAAGATAACACAATGGTAACACACCACCTCTGTTACTTGAGCTGCTGCAGAGGTGCACAGGCAGAACAAATGTGAATGTAGATGTATGCAATACCAGGACCCATGTGCTGGAAGGCTACTAAATCCATAAAGCAAATCTTCACATCTGGTTGAAACAATACAGATAAACATTTGGAATAATATGCTGCATCTTTTTTAATGAAAAACAGATATACTGTATACTGCACTGGTTTTTACCAGGTTTAATTCACGTCAAGTGAGCACTGGTCATCTGGTAGAACCATGTCCATGAACAAATTTTATGATGAGAACTACTCGCAACAGAGGTTCCTCTGTCTGGAATACTGCACACTCAGTGGTGTAGTGGAGGGTATACTCAGGTATACGGGGTATACCCACTTCTTTTTCTATCCAGTTACAGTATACCCACCTATCAGCTAAAAAGCCATTGTAATATATAGGAGAGTATGCCCACTTCCTCATCAGTAACCTACCTATCTACCTAGTAGTACACCCACCTCATCAATTACCACTACACCACTGTGCACACTGACTGGTTTCAGTTGGGTCAGACATTGGTAACACTGGTTGAGCTTTATGGTTGGAAGGTGAAGCCTGAAACAGTAGCCTTGGATCAGGAGTTAAGATCAAGTTAACCTGCCAGTAAATGAGTTTCAGGGTATTAATTGCCATTCCGGCAACAGACCCAGACTTTCGGTGAAACTGGTTTCGAGGTGAGGAGGTTTTCTGTGAGCCAGCATTTCCTGTATTTTAGTTCAGTAGATCAATTTAAAAGGAAACTTTTAATTTTTTTAAACCTGTACTATATTTCACCATGTTTTTGTGTCTAAATGACTTATGGAGACACATTTTTTTTAAACTGGTCCAGTATTGAGTGAGACTGTTGCAGCTGTAGCAGTGAAATAGGCTGCAGTGTATTCCCTGCATTCCCTGCGCTGTCAATTTACATCCAGTTAAAGTGCTTGTTTTTGTCACTGACAGGCTCATATTGTTATTTCAAGTGTTTGACAACATTATGGAAAACACTCCAAAGAGAAATTAGACATTTTTCTTTACCTTTTGCTGATCCAATCTGTTTGTTATTGTGTATAGCCAAGTCTTGCTCAAGGAGAAATCTTGCTCTGAAATCTCACTGACTTTTCCATATTGTTGAAATCAACTAAATATTCAACCATGACACTGAAAATCTTCAAGATAACCAAGCAACACTTAACTGTACTGCAACACAACAAACACTCCCACCATTTTTTCCTGCAACAAGTCACCTTTTGCAAGTTTTCAGAACCAGGCTTCTCCTTGAGTGAGACTTGGTCACAATAACAAACAGACCAGTGATGGGAAAGGAAATGTTTTATTTCTCTGCAGGGTCATTTCTGTAATGTTGTCAGACAGTCATTATTACAATATGAGCCTGTCTGTGGCAAAACAAGCACTTTCAGTGGACCTAAACTGACGGTGCATAGAACCAAAGTTTCCCTAAACTTTCTCCTTTCTGGTATACCCTCAGAAGATTGAGCCAGGACTTGCAAGCAATTTTACATAGTGGTCAAAAGTGGAACTACACTGTCCAGTTCCGTCACGAGATGCCATTAGGCCCAAAACTACTTTTTTCCCCACAGACTTACATAGGGAAAGCAACATGTGTAAATCAGTGGATCAATTTATTTGAGCAACACAAGCCCCGCGATTTGATCCATTCGGTTCGATGAGATTTCAAAAGTGTAGAAGAGCTGCATGGGTAAGTTAGCGGAATGCAAAACCTGAAGTTAGCCTTTCAGCCAGTGGAAGTTAGCCACTCAGCCATGCTCAGCTGCCTTTAGTCTCTAGTGTGCTTGCTCTGTGGGCCCTATAATACAAAAGATCTAGATAATTTCATATCATGGAAACAGAACTTTTTTGGCTACATATGCCACCGAGCAACTTTCATATAAATAAATGGGGGCCCCCCCCTCAAATGTTGTATCCAAGTCTTCTAATACATCCATGGATTGAGTATTCATCTAAAGCCAGACCTGTACCTTCAAACAAGCCATTCTCAATCATCAGACAAAGGGACAAGGCAATGAACCATCAGTGCAGTGCCAGATAGTTGACATTTCCAAGGTGAATGCACAAATCACTTTCAAATGGAAATTGCTTAAAGGCAGAGCTCAAATGCAACAGTCTCACCAGTTAAGACCTTTCAGTCTTAACTGTTCCTGTCAAGGGCTATTCATAATTTTATGTTGATTTTTGTTACAGTTTTCATCTCCTTGGTAACACACCCTTGTACAGTAGCTAGCAGAGTCTCTCGGTAGGCCTAAGGACAAGAATAGTGAGTGCTTGCAGCTGAGATAGACATCAGTAAAGCAAGTGTAGGCCTATGAGTTGGACTTCCCCAACTCCTCATAGACGCTATAGCTGAGTGGTATTGTGCCTTTCTGTTACACAACACTTGCCACATCTTTATGGCTGAATGAATCTTAAAAGTATCTGTAAACACGGCACGCACCTGTTACAGAAGTTTGTTTTCTTCCAACTGAGGCAGATGCCTCATGCACATGAGCAGAATACTGACAGCAAACAATTAGTCTTCACACTCTGTGGTCTGTCAGTAGAGTCCTGATAGTGATGCCTTATTTCACCCTGATTCTTCTCCCATGTATTATTTGACAATTGTAAAGGGCTTATTTCTGTGCACAAAAGCAAATCTGAGGGTGCTTTTGTTTCTCCCCCTGTGGTATGAGAGTTTGGGCAGATGTGTGGTGGGTGGATAAAACGACAGTGTTGACAATATCTGCTTATCTTCTGGCTTTGACCCGATGGGAGCAAGGCCATGGCTGGATGCGCCTGTCTTATCAGCATATCTACGTCTGCGGGGCCAACCCAGAACCGCTGGGCAAGCTTTTTTTTTTTTTTTGTGCCACCATGCCTTCAGGTTTCAGGTGGGCTTTTTGTTCCCTGTGCAGGCAGAATGCAGGCTGTGGGCTATGGAACAATACTGTGTTCAGAGAGCAGGGAAGAAACTGCACGTAGCAATCCTTACATCACATTATGCAAGGGAACTCCCTGTTACCTCTGTTTCTAAGCAAGTACAGCTTTCTACCTCTCTATAGGCTGAAAACAATAACCACTTAGAGAGTTCCAGTACTTCTGCCAAGTCAAATAAACACAGTGATCCCACTTAAATAACTTAATGAAATAATGCTTAAGGTCATCGAGGTCATTGTTTGTTTTGTTTTGGGAGTTTTTCAGATGTAAAGTTTTCCAAACCGTTAATCGTAAATTCATCTGTTTGTGCATTTGACAAAGATAAAATGAAAAAAGAAAAACACAAGCATCTAACAAAAATGTGAAACATAAGTACAAGATGTCAAAAAAAAAAAAATCACAAATAGACAAAAAAGTGTGCTGTTGTATCTGAAGTGGGGTTTTACCTATGGATTTTATATGGAAAACATGAAGTCTATCAGTAGTTAAACAAAGGAAATAACATTTGTAACACTTGACTCAAACCCTATAAGGACAGCTCTATGTTCACTGACCTGGTCCAAGGTTAATGTGATAATACGAGTGTTCAGTAACTTTTTTAAATCCTGGTGCACATTCTGCCCAAGATCACTGCAGGGACTCACTTGTGAGAGGAGTGAATCATCGAGGTAGGTCTTTGTTTGAGCTTCTTATTACACAATAATAATTTAGAGCAGCATAAATTTGATTTATAGTTTTATAATATGTAAGATCATGACTTATTGATAGGGGCAAATGAGACTGAAAACTTTCTACTTTAAATTAAACTCATAAATTAACTGTTGATGATTAATGAGTCCCTTTAAATGCTGTTATTATTACCTGTTCATATAGCAAGTGCTATGTAACACTCCTTGCACTGCTGCTGCTCACTGATTATTCACTCACTTGTCGCAGAGATAAGGTTGATGAAAGACAGCTCTTTTCAAGGAATACAGTTCTAAAGCAAACCATCCAAATAGGTTGAAATGTACCACTACAGCTACATTCTATCATTAAAACAAAAATACACACTCAAAGCTTATTATAACATGTATTGAAAAGGGAAAAAATTGATGTTGTAGTTTTATCAAGGTATTAAAAGAGGATTTTTCTGTAGTTCATGTAAAGGATAGGACTATACAGTATATGCTGTCAGTATATGTAGGTCAGGGTACAGTAAGTAAATGGATATGTCCTGTGGAAGATGCAAACAAAAGTTGTACTGTGAGTGCACAATCAGTGCTAAAAATAACTAAAAAGGTCAACCCATACAGGAGGCCCTCACACATCAAGATGGATTAGTAGTTCCTTGTGCAATATAATTCATGAAATGTTCTGAAACATAGTATATAGACTGGAGTACTAATGAGAGGTACCAAATTGTTAGAACAAGGACTTGAATGTTTATTCATTTCTTTTTTTTCTAGACATCATCACCTTGCTGGTCTAACCAGCAGTACTTAAAAAGCAAGAGGTAACAATGGATAGATCAGAAATCTGTCAACGATCTACACCTAATGGAAATTTGGATCTCTTTTCACTTGATATGTATCAGTTCGGTTTCAGGGAGGCGGCAACATCAGAGGGATGTTGTATGCTGTAAAGCCCTCTGAGGCAAATTGTTATTTGTGATATATTGGGCTTTATAAATAAATGTGATTGATTGATTGATTAATTGATTGATTGATTGATTGATTAATAACACGAATTTAAAAGGTTGGAGTTCCTAGTAAGATCAGCTTAAATAAAAAAAAATGATTATTTGATGAGGATTTTTTTTGCGTCAACCACACAAATAAGTCGTAAGTCTTTTTAGCAGTGAGGTTGACGGAAGTGAAGCCCGGAACGCTTTATGGTTGTTCCTGAGCGCACACGGGATGTTTTGACGGTTACACCATCGAGCTGTCAAGTCAACAGAAGTGCCTCCCTTCCTTACCTGTGCAGTAAGAGCTCTATTGTCAATTTGGCTGTAATTTAGAAAGAACATGCTTTTGTAACGTGTTGTTGTGACGCTGTTTTACTTAAGGTGCGCATTTGAACGCCTTTTAACCGTTTAACCTTGGTTAGTAACTGTGTTTGACTGTTAGCTCAACGTTTGGCGACTTTTAGCTAGCAGCAAGACTTTGTCATTGGCAGGTAATCAATGTAATTAACATTAATAATGACGGTATGAAGTTAATAAGGGTGACACATGCTGGAGACTCCGTCAGACGCTGCATTTTAATGTGTTCAGGCTTAAACGTTAGAGAGCTGCTGTTACTGTGTCTTATGGCTAACACGCTGTGTGATTAGTGTGTTGATCCAATTATCTTTGCTAGGTGGTCAGACATTCTTAACGTTGTTGTTGTTGTTGTCTGTTCGTTTTCATTGAGGTTATCGCTTTCTCGTCAGTCGTTTATTACATTAGCTTTCCGTTAGCTCACCATAACGTTTGCTAAAGCAGCAGGGGCTCCTCACCTGAAGCAGGACAGAGGTAAATTGTTGAGTTGGTTAAAGGGCATGGTCACTGGATAACCGTGAAAAAAGCTGTCACTCACTTGGTGTTGAAATTACAGGAGGGATTTCGAGGACACACACGGGGAGAATGATGTCCAGAAATAGAAAGCAAAAGTATGCTTTTTAGAGAAGCTTCACATTACTGTGTCATTTTGCTTCAGACTTAGTGACCTGAAACATTGCAATCAGTATTTTATTCAAGTTATAACTGTTTAATAACAGTGTAGTCTGCAACTCTAAGCTACCCACCAGCAAACACTGATCCTGTCAGCCAGTGAGATATTAATTTTGCTATTGTGTTTGTCTAACAGTAATATCCATCTAGGTGTCAGCTTACTATGAGTTACTTTTTGTAACTCTCTCTGTGTTCATATTTCATGAGTGTCATCACTTGCACTTGTTATGGCCATTTATTAGTCACAGTACTATAATACCTAACATAAAATATTAATTATTAAACTGAACATACTCCCACACTCTGGCTAACTTGCAGACCTAATATCAATTTCAAAGATTAGTTGATACGAAGTTGAATAAAGTGAGATGGTTAAAAATAATCTCAAACTAGTAGATTTTTATGTATTGAAGAAATTAAAATGGCATTTTTAACTGACAAGACACTTGACAGATCAATAGACAACAATTGTAGAAATAAATTAATAGTTTCTGACTTTTTTTAAGCCAAAATGCCAAACATTTGCATGCTGTGGCTTAGTAAATGTGAGGATTTGCTGCTTTTCAGTGTTTCGTTTCATTGTAAATTGATACTGTATATCTTTGGGTTTTGTAATTTTAGTCAGAAAATTCAAGCAATTTGAAGCTATCATCTTGGGCTTTTGAAAATTGCGACAGGAATTTTAACAATTTTCTTACATTTTATAGACTAAATTTTTTTTTTGATAAATTGCCAAAGTAATCTACAGTCTAAGCTATGATATAAAGTCACTTTAAAAAAAATATTTCCACAATTTTCATTTTTCATGTTTTTGTTATGCAGTGTCTGCAAAATATTGGTGAAGTCAGTAGCTTAAAACTTGTTATTTTTGTCTGTCCTCTGCAGGCCTGCAGGATGGCCCAGGCAGACAGTAAGGTGCTGGTTCTGGGAGCTCTGGCTGGAGTGGCTGGCATCAGTTTGGCTGTGGTGTGTTATCAAGGCTTTAGGTCAAGGCGAAGAAGCTCATGGCCAGGGTTCTACCTCAACCGCACTAATGAACAGGGGCCTGGCATCATGGTGGTGGATGGTCCAGGTTTGCCTACGGGTCAGGCTGAGGTGCTGGAGCGCCTTGAGGCCCTGATCCAGTGCGTGTCTGAGCTAAAGGAGGAGATGAAGTCATTGAAGAGTGCTCTGCCGACGCTGCAGGATCAAGTCAGGGAAGAGCTGAGGGGACGGGATGAGGGGCGTCGAGCCAGCCCTCTCCACAGGACCACACCAACACGAAGGAAAAGGGCTGCAGGCACCATCGCCGGGGCCAGAGCTGGCGGTCGGAGCTCAGAGGAAGCCGAGAGTGAGGGAGGGTGAGTACTTTAGAAGCTGGGAGATCCCGTTATATAATCAGTAATTATACACATCTCAAAAACATGTCCTCACATAGGAATTACCTCACTGTGCTCGCAGCAGATTCTTCAAAATTATCCTATTATCCAAACTCACTTTTGTTACAACAGATTCTAACATGGTAACGTGCAAGGCACAAAAGTCATACTGATACTGACATACTGACATTTGTTGTATTCAAGTTTGCAGGATTTAGACACTTACACGAAGTTTAACACAAAATGTCACCAATTTTTAAACTGCACACACGCACTCACACTGTCCCTGGCTAACTTATAAAACAGGTATTAATTTCACATGGCAGACTTGGACCTTTGATCACAGCCAGTACTTTGGATCATTTCTCCCATGCCGTTCATTAATTTGCCAGAACACTCTGTCCTCATAGTACAGTTCATCAGACTTGCCATCAGTTTGTTCATTAATCACACACTGTTCCACATGAATATACATGTTTGTCCCAATTCCTCATGTACCCTCTACTCCTTTTAAGGAATCCACAATGCATCTGCATAAGTCTTTCTGTGTCTGAGGTGAACATGAATTGCACCTGAATGGTGGTAGTAAGACCTAACAGGGCTCTACAGCCCGAGCACTTCTCTCACATGTGCAAATGAAAATTAGAATGTGCAAATGTGACAAATTTTTTGGGCCCACTGGTATGGACCTCTACTCTGTAACAGCGCTGAGCAATCACAAGTGGACTGATGTTTTTATAGTTTATACAACACTAGCAGAATGATGTCTTCTCCAGTAAAAATCGATCTGGCTGATCACATCACCGCAATTTCTGGAGTTGTTTTCTCCTAGTGAAACTCTCCTTCACCTTGCATCAATAATTTAAGGTTATCGGCTTCATAGTTCTGAATCACAACCTCCAATATTTGGAGAAAATATCTTGTGAAAATAAATTGTGCCAATGTCAATAGGCTCCTGTTATTTTAATATGCCAGCTACATATTTAATTAAGATTTCATATCTTCTGCTGCTTTACACATATATTTTACTATATACACCAAGCATCTTTGATACAAAATCCCTTATCTCATTTTCAAGTTGTAGTTTCTATATGTAACTTTCAGAAAATCCTTGGTTTTAATGACACTGTCGCCAGTTAAGTGACCTGCAATCAGCATCCTGTTGTCAAAATACATAAGTATGATGGATCATGTTAGTTGATGAAGTATTTTGGCAAGCTAGCCAGCCACCATAGCAGTAATGTTAGCAAGCAAGCCAAGGTTAGCCGTCTTGCTGTAACTTAGCTACACTGCATGAACCTGGTGTTGGTTGATTTGTAATGTTAGCCGATAAAGTAATTTGCAAACCAGCCTTGGCGCTGTGAACAAATGACTGTAACATTAGCTGGTGTTATCCACTCAAGACAGTATTTTGCTATGTTTGCTAGTTAGCAAGTCATCTGCATCAGCAAGCAAACTTACAATAGCTAACATTAGCCTGCTAAAACCACAGGATCACAATTCATACGTCATTGTTTCCTCTAGGAATTTTCCAGTACTTGGAGCGCTGAATTTATGATATGGGGCACTGAATTTGATGACTTATCTGTGTGTCAGACCGCAAATGAAACATGAATTAGCTAGGACACCCCACAGTCCTTCTGCTGCACTCCCCGCTGCTAGGCCACTACTTTGCCGGGAGCTAAGTGGACAGTAGCTCTGGAGACGGACTGGACAGGACAGCCAGTGCTGACTGAATCCAAATTGCCACAGCTGTAACTGAAGGTCCATCTCCAGGCCACTACTGTAAAACATGTCCGAAACGCAGCATGTCTAGAATTTGTGTTGTGGTGGATGCCATTCATTTGATATTGACATTAACTGACTCCATTTCTCTAAGGTAACTTAAGCTAATGTCTCACACTATTGGAGCCTTAGGGGAGCTGAAGAGAGACAAGGCACTTGAGTGTGCTCTCAAACATCACATCCTTTGGATTTTCCCAGAAAATTTCCCCCGAGTCCTTTTGAAAGAAATCAGTCCTCAGGCTGCTGCAGGCAGCTCAGAAAGTTGAGGAAGGTCTCAGTTTTTAGTTATGTTACACTCTGTTCACCTATTGGCAATGAAAAAAGATGAGTGCGAATAATAAAAAGTTACATACCAAACCTTTTAACAAGGAGAATTTAAATCAATATGGTGTTTTTATAAATGTAAAAGCAGTTTCTTTAACTAATGATTAGTTTATACCCAACTGTGATCAGGGGTAAATAAGGTGATAAAGCTGAGGGTGATTGAGATGTTTGATCAAAGTGTGATGACTAATGAAGCAGTCTAATCACATACATCATTGTCATTGTGCAGATGCTTCTAATAATTTAGAATCGGTATCATCATTACATAGTTTGTCCCACTTACTCCAATGTTTACAATACTTAGCTGCTGCTCATGAGTTGGTACAGTATTACATATTTTGGTGTAAAGGGTTTTAAAATAGCTGTAAATATTTGTCTCTGGTTTGTATCTTTGTTACCTTCATCCGATCACAAAGAATTAATGTATTTTTGATACTGATATTGGCCTGTACATTAGACGCAAAGTTTCTCATTTATATCATTTTCGGCCAGAAACTGACTTCAGGCTGTTGTCATTTCTTAATGTAAATAAGACAGATAAGAAACATAAATATCTCAACAAGTGGCAAACTGTAAATTGATTTCAGGTTAATTTCTACTTTAACAATCTCATCCGTTGATCAGTGTGTGAGTCAAAAATCTTGTGGTCCTCCTTTACCAATTTAACTCTGTTCATTTTATGTGCTCAATTTTAGTTCTTCTGACACTACGTACATGCGCCTCAGGTGCTGCAGAGAACAGCAGACTAATCAAGCACCACATGCTCAGTCATCTACCTCCATTCTCAGCCAAATGCCTTGAACTTGTGCCAGCCTTAGGTAACATAAACAACAGATGTGTTTCTTTTGAATGGACTATCATTTTGAATCTCATAAAAACAAATATCAACAGTAAATGATGATGATTATGCCAAGGCTTTAATGTTTTCTGCAGTCATGCAGACTTAGGTTTTTCTTGGACGTGAATGATATTTCAAACATGCGATTCAGGAATTGTATCAGATCAGAGAATGCTGCGTTTGGATATTGTAGCACAAACAGGTCTTTGCAAGGACTTGATGGACATTTACTTAGCCTGGGTTGACCTTTGCATGCTCTGTGTAGGAAGTAGAGTATGTGAAGTGCCAAGAAGAAATAACACTCAATGCAGCTGCTTTTACATCCTAACCACACTGTTTTTAGGTGTGCAGTGAGCCTTAGATCAGAGCTGTGCGGCTCCTCCCCACCTCTGTTACTGTCCTCGTGATGATGAATCAATTGCCTTGGAGCAAATTTTTTACAACTACAACAACACAAAGTAGGCCAACTTAACATCCACTGCACCCTGGGTAATTAATCAGTGTTGTCTTTTACTGTCTGTGTCCTCTAAGAATCACATACCAGGCAAAGGTTGGGTCAAGTGATTTTTTCCCTTGGTTGCCAGAAAAGAAGCTAATGTCTGTTGTTTAATATTTAAGATACTTGAGATAATTCACATGCAACCAGGCACATATATCAGTAAACTATCATTTAAAAAATATACCTTTTTCAGTACTATTTACTTGGTAAAGTGAAGTGGCATGAGAAGTACTGATAGTATGCTTAAAGTATTGCAGGTCATGTACTTTTGTTGGCATTGGAAGTAAGACAGCTCATAGACAGGTAATAACACCATATCATATGAGTCTTCTTTCATGATGAATAAACATTTCAGGCCAGCCTACCTCTACTTAAGTTACCATTGCTTTCCTCATTGGCTAGAGGAGCAGCTGGAAGTGTAAGACTGCCCTCTAGCAGATGTGGTTCACAGGTTTTGAGTGACAGTCGTCGGGCGCTTCAAATGCTTTTAATTACAGCCCGGGTTATTATGCTTAAAAAGAAATCACATCACGCACACACCTCCCATAATTAAAGAGCCTTTCCTGCCGCTTTTTTTGTATGAGCAAAGGGTGTGGGGGTATTGGGAATGGTGCAGTGAAGAAATTTCAGCCCCTTAGGGAATGTGTAGCGTTCCCCCAGAGGAGCCAGTTACACCCCTAATCCTCACATCCATTTAAAGGGCTCTTCATGTCTGTTCGGCTGGCTTGGAAGTGTTTGGAACACAATAGCTCCACACAATATCCCAACAAGAGCCGTGATGCTAAGAGTTGGGTAATAGTTATTGCGTGTTTGTTGAAATCTAAAGCCTTAAGAATACATTTGAGATTACCAAGATTAGTGCATTTATTGTTCGCTGCAAAATGTGAATTTGCAAACATCTCAGTTTAACATTTTGCAGCATTGAAAACTGTCAGCTGCAGCAACAATCAGCTACTGATATAATAAATTAGAGAAAAATATATCTGCAACTGTAAAGTTAACTGAGCTTACATAACTGTAAATAACTGAGGCAGCACATTTCCAACAGGGGGCATTGTACAAGTATGAACAGGGCCTACAGCAAACTCTGCTGCAGAGCATGATAGACGCACATCAGGAATAGGGAAAGGCTTGTGTTTATAACCCCTGGAGCTGATTACTTTTGTAATCTTAATGGTTTTCTAACATTTGTGCTGAAATGTTTTTCTAGTTGCATGACTGAAGTTAAATAATTTAAAAAGATGTATGTATATATATATATTTTTAAAACCAACTATGTCCTGTGTGTTTGCAGAGATATTTCAAGTGTGACCAGTGTTGCCAAATTGTCTGATAAGACAGTGTTGCTCCAACCTTAGTCTGTGTTAGGATATTACTTCTGCAGAAATGCTCAGAACAGTTAGTGTGACATAACGTCAAAATTACAGAGCAGTGTGCAGTAGTGTCGATCAAAACAAGGGAACATGCGGACCCAGCCACTGAAAGGTTGAAAGTTCCAGCTGTTTATTCTGTTCACTCCTCATGTGTCACAACAGC